ATGCAAACAGTTAGCGACCTTAACTGCTAACAAAAAGGTTGGAGTAGTTGGAGCCCACTCAGAGGCTCCCTGACAGAGAGCTTGTGAGTCGACTTCCAGATTGGCAGTCATTGAAAACTCTTCACAGCACACTTGGCATTGCCACCAAAGTCAATTTGACTACAACTGGTTTGGAGTCCCTGAGGGGCATAAAGGGCTAACACATGTAGCTACTGACTGAAAGACTGGAGAGTCCAGTCTGCCCAGAGTTTCCTCTGAAGAAAGATCTGGTGATGCACTTCCAAAAACTGGCCTTTGGCAGCGCCATGGAGTAAGCACCATTCTGCTCTGACTTGCATGAGGTGCCAGGAGTTCTACTGACTCAATGGCAACTGGTGGTGATGGTATTGCTTACCTAAAGACAGAGTCACCTTGAATTCCATTCACTAGTGAGTGCTGCTAGTTTGCCCAGTATGATCCCATTCATGCACGTTCGAGGTTACCATTATACAATTATATAAACGAGTTACGTTGCTAAGAAGAGTTGTCCCAAATATTGACCGATCACATTCTTTGACACCACTAGATCGACCAAAATGAAAACAAAAACCTTTTCATTAAGGACAAACAATGGAGATCATCCTTTCGGTGTTTCTTACCTTGACAAGAAGACTGTAGAGAAAAGGGTTGTGTGTTAGACCAGGAAAAGAACTAACCATATTAGCATTGCTCTCTGAATAAAATAAGTAAAACAAGTAAATAGGCTAGAGGAGATTAGCAGGAGATAAGAGTTAATTTCCTTATTGCATGGCATTTATATAAATCAATAGGAAACCCCAAAACTTCAAGAGGTAAGCAGACAAAAATGAATAGGTAGCTCACAAGAAGTGTAATAAGCAGGCAAGCCTGGGGAAAGATGCTCAACCTTAGTAATAACCAAAGGAATGAAGATTTAAAAATAATAATGAGGTGCCCTCTTTTAGCATGAGATAATGAATGTTGTATGTCTAGCACAGAGGGGCTGGCATATAATTATATTCCAAACATATTTTACCTCTCTTTATCCTGTCCCTAGAACACAGATAAAATTGTCATCTAATATTTTTATTATAATATTTAACATAAGATATATTTTATACTGGACTCTCTGATAGTTGATTTTTAAAGATTTTCCCATTTTACTTGAAACCCAAATGTGAGTTCCAGTATAAAGAACATATAATAGAAATTACATTAACTCTAATTCAGAAGTATTGATTTTAAAAGCATATTTGGAGGCAAATGTTAACTGGATGACTCTCCCTAGTGTTTCCCAGAGTTTATACTCATAGGAGCAGTTAAATGAGTCCGTATTCAAGCACACTGCTGTCAAGTCAATGTCGACTCATCGAGACCCTTTAGGACAGGGTAGCACTGCCCTGTAAGTTTCTGAGACTGTAACTCTTTAGGGGAGGAGAATGCCCCACTTTTCTCCTGTGGAGCAGCTGGTGGTTTCAAACTGCTCATCTTGTGGATTGCAACTCAACTCGTAACCACTCCAACAAACCCAGGGACAAGGAAACAACAAGAGATCTAAAATCGATGACCAGGAGGTCATAGAATGCCTGGTGGGGTTTGATCAAGTGCCATGTAGCTGAGAGAAGGTACAGAGAGCGGAATGAAGATCGAACATGATAGTGAGACAGGAGGAAAGTAAAAGGAAATAGAGGAAAGAACTAGGAGGCAAAAGATATTTATTTAGGTATAAATATAGGTGTGTGTATATATGTAGATATATTAATATATAACAATAGAGAGATAGGTCTATGTACATCTATTTATAGGTTAAGGATTAAGGTAGCAGATGGACATTGGGCTTCTACTCAAGTCCTCCTTCAATTCAAAAACACTTTGTTCTAAAAACCTGCCATTCTGTGATCCTCACCTTTCTGACACTATCACTGAAGACAAAATGGGTGCATAAGCTAATGTGGTGAAAAAAGTTGATGGTGCCCAGCTATCAAAAGATATAGTGTCTGAGCTCTTCAAGGCTTGAAGTTAAACAAGCAGCAAGGGAAGCAACAAAGCCCACATGGAAGAAGCACACCAGCCTGTGTGATCATGAGATGTTGATGGGATGCAGGCATCAGAAGACCAAAAACAAACAACTATTTCAATGTGAATGAGGGGGGTCGGAATGGAAACCCAAGGCCCATCTGTAGACAGTTGGATGTCCCCTCACAGAAGGGTCAAAAAGAAGGGACGAGCCAGCCAGGGTGCAGCACAGCACCGATGAAACACACAACCTTCCTCTAGTCCTTTATTGTTTCCTCCCCACCACTATCATGACCCCAGCTCTATCTTACAAATCTGAGGCTAGACCAGAGCTTGTGCACTGGTATAGATAAGATCTCTCAACACAGGGAATCCAGGATAGATAAATATCTCAGGAACAATAATGAGAGTAGTAATACCATGAGGGTAGGGGGAAGGTGGGAGGAGAAGGGGGAGAAAGAGGAAACCAATCTTAATGATCCACATACACTCCCCGCCCCCCACAGGGGGATAAACAACAGAACTGTAGGTGAAGGGAGACAGTGGATGGTGTAAAATATGAAAATAAAAAAAATTATAAATTATCAAGGGTTCAAGCAAGTGGGAGGGCGGGGGAGGGAAGGGAAAAAAGAGGAGTTGATCCCAAGGGCTCAAGTAGAAAGAAAATGCTTTGGAAATGATGATGGCAACATATGTGCAAATGTGCTTGATACAATTGATGTATGAGTTATTATAAGAGCTGTGAGATCCTCCAATAAAATGATTTATTAAAATTAAAAAAACAACAACCTCGTAACTACTATACCACCAGGGCTCCTGAGTCAGTACTGGCTATCTTAAAACAGTGTTGCTTTTTTTTAATGGTACTTTTTATTAGCATTATTATTATTAATCATTTCATTGGGGACTCTTACAGATATTATAAGAATCTATAAAACAATTATATCAACTGAACTTGTGCAGATGCTGCCATCATTTTCAAAACATTTTCTATTTGAGCCCTTTGATATCAGCTCCTCTTTATTCCTCCCCCCCCCTACCACCCTCGTGAACCCTTAATAAATTATATATATATATTTTCATATCTTACACCGTCTGATGTATCCCTTCACCCACAGTTCTGTTATTCGTACCCCCTTGAGAGGTTATGAGTCATTCATTGCTATCACTTCCCCTTCTCTCCCCCCCCCCCCCCTTTTGGACCTTCATGGAATCCTCACTCCCATTACTGTTTGAGAGGTTTATGTATCCTGGATTCTGCATGTGAAAAGCTCTTATCTGTACCAATGTACATATGCCAGTCTAACAGGATTTGTGAGGTAGAACTGGGGCCATGGTAGTGGGGGAAGGAAGCATTAAAGTACTAGAGAAATGTCATGTGTTTTGTCAGTGCTATACTGCACCCTGGATGAATGGTCCCTACATTGTGGCCCTTCTGTGAGGGAATGTCCAATTATCAACAGGTGGGTTTTGGGTCTCAACTCTGACCCCTCTCCTTTGCATGGATATAATTGGTTGTTTTTGATTCTCTGATACCTGGTCCTGTTGATACCTCGTGATTACACAGGCTGGTGTGCCTCTTCCATGTGGACTTTGTTGCTTCCCTGCTAGATGGCCACTTGTTTAACTTCAAGCCTTTAAGACCCAGATACTATCTCTTTTAATAGCCAGGCACCATCAGCCCCCCTGAGTTTCTGTAAACCATGTGACTAACTGCCTGCTTTACATTATCTTTTACAAGTTATTTAAGACAATTAGGGTCGATCTTTTTGACAGGGATGAAATAGTTCTGTTACCTCATTTAGTCCTTGCATATTCCCGAGAACAAGCTACTTGATTCCCATTTTACAGATGGGAACCTTGAGATGCAGATTTTTAGTCATTCACCTAAAATCACACTCATAATCATCATTCGAACTCAAGTCTGTCCAAGTTCAAACTTGTTATCTTTTCACTACACTGCCTCTAGAAATGTAATCTTATTTATTTCACAAGTATAAAATGATTTTTAAGAATAAAATCTAAACACGTGACTTGGTGGAACTAATCATAGTTTCTGTATGCTGGAGCCATTTTTTGAAGTTAAAAAAAAACACAAAACTATTTCGTTCCCACAAATGAGCTGTTGAACATTCAGAATAGAGTGCTTCCTATTCCATGTCAAAAATGTAGATTGGCTTCCTGATAAGATGTACTATTTGGAGACTGTCTATTTTTTATTGTGATTCAGGTGCAAATAACAGGAAAACTTTTTTTTTACTATCTTGGCAAGAGAGTAGGCATTTCTAAAAGAGAACACATAAGCGAGTATTTAAATGGCCATTATTTTTGCATTATGAATTAGAAGAGAAAAAAAACCGATTACAGCACAGGGTTCAAAGATATAACAATGGTTAACTGACTTCAGCAGAGAAGTCCAGGGTATTTCCAGGACGCACACTGAACTGTGAGGCAGCTCTTCAGAAGCACCTGGTGCTTTTCCCTGCCCAATTAACCGAAGCATTACAAATCCACAGGGGACCGGAGGGATGTGCAAGCAAAAGCCCGCTCGGAAAACGAGGTAGGTGCTGCGATGGGCTGATATTCCGGCCTTGAGTATCTGACACCAAGAGAGAAGCAAGCACCAACTGAACTTGGGGTTGTAATTCTCAGACCAACAGTAATGTATAAGAAGGGGCTTCAAAAAAGTACTTGGAGAAAAAGTCCTTGTTACCATTTTCATCAGGAACATTTTGAAGCCCCCGTCATGTCATCTGGGTTTTAAATGGCTGTGAAACTGGAATGAAAATATTTGTTAAATGTCTCATTTCCCTTGCCGAAAATTTAATTCTGAATTTTCAAGGCAAAATGGTTTTTAGGGGCTTTTCAAAAGCAGCGTGACAATGGCAAACAAATCGATGCAAATGTGAAGGATGCGCGCGCGCACACACAGACGGTCTGTCTCCCTCGAAGTGCCCTAAGCTCTGTATTGCTTCTTCTGTTTGCAGGGCTCATACTTGCTTTAACCGCCTGGACCTACCCCCTTACCCGTCCTTCTCCATGCTTTATGAAAAACTCTTGACCGCAGTGGAAGAGACGAGTACCTTTGGGCTCGAGTGACCGGGAAGCACAAGTTCTTCCTTATGGACAGCAGCTCAGAGCTGCCCTCTGGCAGGATGGCTGGACGGTGGACGTTTCAAGCGGACGATTGCACCGATTAAGACTGCCACTGTTTTCAAGGATCGCGTGCTCTGTCACTTGGGGGACAGGCTAGTGGTCTTGAGTGCTCTTGGAAGGCTTTGGGTGAGCTTGAGGGTTACCCAGAGAACAACCCAACAGTCTTTCAATCAACAAGTCTTCTTGACCGTCAAACGTTTTGCATTTGTTCCAAGACCAAGATGAATCTGTACATGATCAGCTTCCTGGTAATTTTCAGGACTCTGGAGATTCTTGACACCCTTGAATGCAGTTGAAGCCAAACTGGCAGTACTTGGCCCAATCTCCAAATTAATGCAAGTTAAATACTGTAATAAAGAAAAACAAATATATGTCCTGAAAGTACATTCATTTAAGCCCCAAATTATGAGAATATTCCTTCTTTTGCTTATGAGTGCCTGCATGGTGTGCACCATAGATTTCAGCTTTTATGGGAAATGAGTGAAAATGAAATCAAGTCAACATGAAGTAACTTTAAAGATTTGCAATAAGGTGGTCTGTGACAATTGATATGCAAGTTGTATTGTGTAATTATGGCTAAAGACAAACGATTATGCACTGAATTGCTAATGAAAGATTTTGTGCTTTACAATGCATGAAAACCATCTAAAAATAACTAGTTATTAATCACAGCATATCAGGAAAAAGTACACAGTGCGTTCTGTTTAGTTTTTATAGCTTCATTATACTTATGTTCTTTAAGACGTATATAAGAACCTACCTGTCACACTGTCTGTGGCATCACCTGTTCCATTTTCATGCTCCATGCTGACGTGGGCATCATGCTAGTGTGTGCCCTTTTAAAGACTCTCAAAGGGGGAAAAAAGGAGGGCGGTGGCTTTCATTTTTGTAAAGGTGACACAAAAATTTCCCCCCAAATAATTTGCACTGAATGTACCAAATTTGAGGGACATGACAACATGACTAACAGTACCTCCATCACTTGACAAATCTAACAGAAAATAGGTTCTCAACCAGACTTCCTCCACAGTGCCATGCCTACCACCACAGGGACTGTGCACATAAGTCATACAGTTTTTAAGACTCACTATATGTGATAGTGTGATGTGCATTTGTTTAAAATGCATTAGACTCGCTTCCATCCATCAAATACTCTACAGGATGGCATTTAATACTGATATTTCGTCGTCGTCGTCCCCCCCCCCCCTCACTGCTTTTTATTTGTACAGCATCCTTACACTCGGCGCTCCATTGGAGAGCCATCAGCACCATCAAGGACATCGGCTCTCTTTAGTCATAAGAGTTATGTATGTTTTCTCTTCTCAGTATAAACATCACACATTGAAACTCTCAGTGCTATATTTCTAATCCTGCGTTTTCACGGATGCATAATTTTCTTATCCATATTGAGGGACAGTTTTCTATGCTATCTCAGAAATGGCATGGCATCACTAACTTTCTTTCTGCTGAATTTTACCAGGAGGTGTCCTTTAGTTTAATTGCTTCTGAATTTACTCCACAATATTGCTCATAATGCATCAGATGCTCAGTAGAATGTAGTTAAATTGTGGGTAATAAAATTATTGTATTAATGTTTCGTTTGTCAGCTTATGGTTTTACAGGCATTGTCTGGGCCTTTGAGAATTATATCTATGAGTAGCCATGAAATTCCTATTATGGGATGTTGGCGATCTTATATTGTATAGAGGTCATATGCCTGGTTTGCATAGGTGGCTTGTAAGGATTGATTGCTCTCCTGTTGGCTAAGCTGAATTGGCCACGTGAGCCTCAAGAGGAATACCACTCGTGTTACAACATCCCTGTAGGTACTGCAAAATGGGAAAATGTTCTGAAAGAGAAGATTATAGGAACTTGGAAATAAGAAAGGAAGGCCTTTGTACCAAAATTGGACCTGAGAAAAGGCAAAGGGGAAAAATTTTAAACTGGAATGTAAGTTTGTATGTATTGATCATGAATATAAGTATATATTTAATTTTACAAACTATTTTTACTTGTTTGTATTTTTTCATTATAAAAGTAATATAACACCCTTAAAACACACACATTTCGGATGGTGTGTAAGGTGTGCAGGGCTGACAGCGACTAAGCAATAGAAATCAAAGGGTGTGCTCTCCTAAGAGTATAGCCCTAGACCATGTACCTCTCAGATCCCTCCTTTCTTACGACACCCCATGTTCTTGTTTAAGACCCAAAAGAAAATGTCTGTCTTTAATTTTTCTATCCAGTATATTTATTGGTAGGCATCAGCTTCTCAAACAACAGTTTTCTCTCACTGGTGCAGTCATTCATTAATGTCACCCTCTAGCCTCCACACTGATCACTTTCGAGGATATACTTAGTATATCAGAAAAGCGTGATGACTGAGCTGCTCTTCTTTATTAACAAAACAAAAAGTAGCCAATGGTAAATATAAGAAAATACTAAATATCATCTCAAAAAATAAATTGGACCAATATATTCAGCAATGAAGAATACCCATACATTTTTATAGATAATTTGGCTTTATTGTCTTTTCCTTAAGAAATTCATAAATGGTTTTTATTTTACTATAAAAGGCAGTCACAATAATACATCAAGTACAGGTATGTATGCAAAGCATTCCTTGAATGAGAGAAGGGGCATCCTATTGGCAGTTTTTGTGTTTTTTTTGGAACCAGACATTGTGGTTGATGATGGAGACACAAAATACAAACTCTGGCCCAGAGAAGCCAGAGTAGATGCCACCTGGGTAAAACAATTATATAGTAAGTTTTACAATCAAGGTTTAAGAGAGAAGTGGCTTTTCCATCGAGGTGATTCGATAAAGGCTTTGTAGATTAGTGTGGCTATAAATGCCGATTTATTACTTCTCATTGCCATCAAGTCAATCGCAACTCATGGTGACTCTCAGAACAGACCAGAACTTCTCCCTGGGGTGTCTGAGACGGTAACTCTTTGCCAGAGCAGCTAGGTTCCTCTTGCTCCTACGGAGCAGCTGGTGTTTAACCATTGACCTCGAGGTTAGCAGGCCAACCCTTAACAACATGTAATCGTCTGACAAGATTGGTTGAACAGTGTTGAAGGCCAGGGTGCATGAACTCGAGAGAGGTGGGAGCCTGCAGATGAGGAGCGAGCTGTGAGAGAGTAACCCAGGGATCTCCAAAGGATCGAGGACAGCTCCCGTCCCCTCTCTTCCCTTTGCCTGCACTGCCACGTCCCTTCCGTTTTCAGGGTGAAAGTTCTGGGTCCCTGTGCCCAACTGAACCTCTGGGATCAAAACATTTTGTGTGTGTGTGTGTGCACAAAATGAATGGTTAGACCCTTGGTCAAAGAATTGCTGTCATTTTTAGTATATGTTGCATTTACAATTAAATGGAAATTCTGTAATAAAGAAAATTTGCTTCACCTGTAAAGCAATCAGTAATGGTAAAAATGCTTTCAAATGAATAACCGTACTAGTAAACTCTGTATAGTGCTTCAGAGTTTCAAAATACATTCAGGGACTTCATCTTCTGTGAGCCTCCCAAACTTGGGGGTGGGGGTGGGGGTGGGGAGAAAGTATTAAGCCCCATCTGGGTTGAGGCTGATTTCCATGAAGGGCTTGTGGGGTCAGTTTCCGGGTTTTTCTTCTGGTTGCAATTCAGTTTCCCCTCAGGAAACATGCAGACCAGTGTTTGCACCGGCCTATTCTGCTTTCAAGTGTTCTGTTTGGTGCATTTCAAACAAATACAGTTAAAATGCAACGCCTTCCGAAAACCAATCCATGAAGAAATTTGTATATTCAGAGGAAAACTTCCTATACATGCAATATTTCCATTTGACCCCTTGTTAGGAGAAATTAGAAATAGGATATTAAATGTGCTTGATTTTGGCAGATTGTATGTACAATGTTTTGGTTTATTCAAATATTATTTGGAAGCAAGATCATGAGAAAAAGAGCACTTTACCAGAAACCTTTTCCCCCCCTTTTTAATAGGGTGGCTCTAGAAGGCCCTGATGGCCAAATATGCAATGATATGGAAAATATGCAATGATATGGAAAAAGAACTCCTGGTGATTCTTTTTCCCTTTGACCTCATGTGCACCCAGGCGCTTTTCCGGTCTCCCTGCACAATGTTATGACTTGATCCCACCTAACGAAGCAAATCTCTTAGGCTGAAGAGTCCAAAAGTCGGTCCAGGTCAATCTTACTCAGGAAATTCTAGGGCAGGTGAAACAATGCTCTGGCACCATTAGAAGTTATGTGTAAGTAACCCTGCATCATGAAAACATGCACGCGCAGTAGGTGGCTAATCGCCAATGGGAGTCTGGGTGTCGGGCATCTGCTTTCTGGTTTAGCGGATGAGTGACAGCGCTTCAGTACTTACCCAACTTACTTCCAGATCATGTGAAATATTCCAGTTTTCCAACTGACCCTTTTCCGGATCATGTTTTCCAAATAAACAGTGTGCCCAATATGCTGTAGCTGTCGAAGCTCTCGGTATAGGGGCTTATTGGCAAACGCTGTCTTTTAAAAAGGTGTTCTGGTAAAAAGGTACAGATGAGGAACCCCACAGTTGGGTCACCCCCAAGAATGCAATGCTAATTATCGACCAACTGCTAAAGATCGGAGAGCTAGGCTATGGCAAGTGTGTCTGCCGTCCCTCTCACATTCAAGGCCCAAAGAGCAAACCCATGGTTGTTGATTGCAACTCATCACCACTTTTTCGAGTAGAACTGCCAAGGCTATCAAAGGAAGCATGAACAAGACCAGAGCAGAAGGAACGTGAAAGCAAGGCTGCTGCCTCCCTACTGCCGCCACTGAGTCGATTTCGACTCATCGAAACCCCACAGGACAGAGAATTGTCCCTGTGCGTTCCCAAAGTTGGAAATCTTTAGGGGAGTAGCAAGCCTCATCTTCCAAACAGGGCTGGAAGGGTCAATTAGGAAATGCTGGTTGGAGGTAGGAATATATACTTCCGTGAGAAACTGAACGTAGGAGGTCGCTGCTTCTTTTTATAATCTACCTTCATCTTATAATTTCAGTAGGTTTGCTAGCATGTTTTGTAATGCAGGAGAGAATTTCCCTGGTGTATTCAATTGTTTAACATTAAGTTCTGTTGTGGATCTTTTAAAAACTAATGATCATTTTTAGTCTTGTATATGCAAAGAAATGGTCGTGCTTGAGATATTATGCTTAATTTTTTTTAGCACACCTTTTTGACACATTTCCATGGTTTCTAGCGGCGACTTCCTACTTATCTACAAAATAAAGCCTAAGATGTAGGTTGTGGCGTTGCAAATAGAGACTTGATCAATGTTTCCAACGTAAGAAGTGAATCCAGACTGAAAATGCATTTGCTTAGATTTAATCTCTACTTCATTTGACTTGCATGATTGAACCGGCCACCAAAATAGGATAGTCCTAATGGTATGGTGTCTGAGGACATGAGTGAATTAAACTTTTATATGTGATTTAGATGTCAATTGGCCTTAGGCAGGTGATCACTTTCAATCCACATTTCTTTGGAGATATAACCCTGAGCAGTGTTGATAGGTATATTGTGTGATTCAAATTGGATCCACTATTACTGGTGCGAGTAAGGAACTATCAGTAAACTTGTGGTTGTGTTATCACCTTCTGGGGGGTGGGGGGAAAAGGGTGGAGATCAGTCAAGAAATCCCTTTAAGGACTAACCCAGGACTACAGAGAACCAAATGTTCTTTTAGGGCCCAGCTGCTCTAAAAGTATGTCATTATAACCTCTTTTTCCTTGTATGATATCATAAGTAATACATGAGGCTATTCATATGTTGGAAAGTGCATACTTGTTTTTTTTATAATAGGGATGCAGGCATTCCAAAATAACTGAATAAAAATGCATGCATCTCTTCCCCTCTTGCCAAAAGTATTAATCTCATTTTACAACAACACTTTTTTATGCTGTACAAGACTTACTTTGTTCTAAGATTTAAGTAGGACACAAATAGTGTGTCTTTTTAAGCCTTTTCATTTTTCTCCACCAACCTGACTCATTGTGTTCACTATACCATGTATAACAGGTAATAGCAATGTTCCTATCTTTATTCAGTTGATTCAAGCTTCATATTTGTTCAAAGTTATTTTAAATAGAGAATAATAGTGGAAGAGATTTTCTATTAGCATAAACATAATACAGCTCTCATTTTACCTTACATTTAAATTTCCTTTCTTTTTTCCTCCCAAACAAATAGAGCAGCTTGTTTACATCCTAGCAATGGCTTGTGGGTGGTATGACATGGAGTCTGGGACTCTGTAGTGTGGACTAGTTGTTTGCTTCCTGGGAAGTCTGTATTCTTACCCTTATCTGAACCCCTGGCTCTTATGTTGTATTTTTTATGATTACAAAATGCTTTGAGGGAAAGATATTTTAATGTGTACAGTTTGTTTTATTTTCATACTGATCTCTATTTTTGTTTAAAACCACGTTGCATCATGAAATCACTTAATCCAAAATAAATCTTCTTTTAAATAAATAGATTATGACTTTTCTGTCATATATTTGGGGAGGAAACAACTCAAAAGGGAAGAGAACAGAAGTGGGGACAAAGGTCTCATGGGATCACCTTAGCCCCTAGTCTGCCGGAAATATTCCAGTCATATTCATAATTAAGAATCGATTCTGTTCTTTAGAATTAGTTTACTTGAATATTCCATTATTTAATACGGAAGGAATAAATTTATATGTCACACTCCTTATTCCTATGGTATCTTAGGTTGAGAAACAGACTCGATCAGATATATTTAGAGAGAGATTTATGAAATAGAGATGACCTTAAAGGGGATCATCTGGGACCAATGAGTTGACAAGCGATGCACAATTTGGTTGGGTAGTGTTACTAATGGGAACAGGGAACAGCCTTCCAGGGAGGTATTTGTATAAGGGTACTGCCAGAGTTGGGGTGGGTGGAGGGGGTCCAAACACATTCTTTAGCTTGAATGTTGTGGTTTTTGAGCAAAAACCAAAGGAGGGGTATCCT